GGGGTACTCGGAGATGTACTTCGTAGTTATCCTAGTTTCACCTTTAGTTTCTTGGGGCTGGATTTCGGGGACGAAATCCCTTTAAAGTGGGAAGGTTGTAATGACCCGGTCATTTTCATTTCTTTCCCTTTCTTCAAATTTTGCAGATAAATTTTTTTTTTTCCTTGTCTTTTCCTTTTCAGGTTCAATTTCCCGCCTCTTATTGTCGTCTCGAGTGCTCGGAAATGGTTTCTGAGGCTCTTTCCTTTGGATTTACAACTTCCTTTGAGGACCGAGTCATTTTCACATTTTTTTCTTTTTTGACACTATTCATTTTTTTGTCTTTTCCATATTTCGTCCTCTTCTCATTTTTTACTTTTACTTGCATAACCTCATTTTTTGTGCTCGAATTTGATTCTAGTTTTGCATACGTCAATGATATTTAAATTCCATGACATTTACATTTTTACTTTTGTAGAAATGCATATTAAATGCTTACTTTCTTTGTAAAAGTCATGAAAACAAGACTTTTTATAATTATCCATAACTTGAGGGGTTTTTGGGTAATTAAGTAAATTAATTATTTTTTGTCTTAGGGACCATTTTGCAATTTAATTTGGAAGATATTTTCAAAAAGGACTTGTTTGTAATTTTCGGAAAGTGTGACAAGTGTCACACTCTCATTGGTTTACTTGTTGACATTTGTGTGGAAACACTTTGATTCCTTGGATGATGATATGTGGAGGGTGGAAATTTACCCACTTGTTGGCCTAGGATTGGTACACTTGTTGGCATGGATGGTTGATAAATGTAGGTTCAATATTAAGTCTTGGAAGTTTACATAGGATGGTGACAAGTGTAGGCTTAAGATTAAGCCTAGGAATGAATCATAGATTCATGACAAGTGTAGGTTCACCATTTAGTCTTGCATTGTGTGTGAGAGAGAGGTAGTGTAAGAGCACATAGTGAGTGGAGGATTTCTAGCCCTTCTACTCACCATTTTATACTTTATCATTTTCATTTTCACTTGTCTTCAAGAACCATAACCTAGCCACCATTAAAGAAAAGCTTGGTTAATAGCTTTCTTCTTCATTTTGGCCTCCTTCCACTCACCTTAAACATAAAACCTTGGAAGACAAAAGCTTCCTCTCACTCCCCTCTTCATTAACCCTAAACTTGTTTACCATTTTGAGCTTGGTTGCTTGGATTATAGAGATTCAATTCTCTATTAAGGTAGGGGGTGTTATCATTTATCTTCCAAATGATTTTATTTGTTCCTATAGTGATATCTAAGTTATATGTTTGTCTTGTATTAAAATAAGAAATAAATGATTAATTGTAACTTGTATCTAATTCACTTTAGACTTGATAAATAACATGATCTTGGCTTGATTCATAACTTATGTTAATTTGAGGTCATTTAAAGTTGTTTTAAAATCTAGAGGGATTAATGAATTAATTTAATTAATTTTTATTTATATGCTCTATGACTTAAATCAAGTTTTGAAGTGATTTATATAATAACCATGACATGTACTACAACATATATTAAATTTGGGGCATTTGGATAAAAATTGCAAAATTTATTTAATATTTATCTTTTGTAAAAGTTTAATTCACATGGTGATAGCAAGCATGAAATCATGATGTAATGTGATATTTGGATAGGCCTTGGCATGTTCTCTAACATAGACTAAATTGAGGGCATTTGGAATTGTTTAAAAATTTAGAGGAAATTAATTAATTAGCTTGATTAATTTTGTTTTAAGTGTTTTAATCACTTCAATTGTCATTTGATGTTATATACGTGATGACCATGACATGTCCTTCAATATATATTAAAGTGAGGTTATTTGGGGTTAACTTAGAATTTAGAGAATTTAACTATTTATGTTTAATTAAATTCTATTTTACTACTCCATGGATTTAATTGCATTTTTGAAGTTGTTTTTATATTTAAATCATGGATTTGGATTTGGTGTATGTTCACTTGATTACTTTTGAGTATTGGATAACATAGCTTTTGAGTATTGGATAACATAGTCGTTACTTTTATATTCATGAGAATATGTTTTTCCTTATTGAATATATTGTTGCTATGTGTAAGGAATTGCACACTTTATATTTGACATCTTTCACGCCATAGTAGTTGTAGACCTTGAGCATGTATTGTATAAGTTTCCAAAATTGGATTGTGCTTGGTAAATAGTTGATATCTTATATATACATGTTGATATATATACGTTGTTGCACAATTTGTTGATTTTGGGAACTTGGGGATGTCGTTGTTTGGCTACGGCTAGGACTTAGTTTTAGTTCGGGGGATTGTCCCTCTATATAGTCTAGTGCGCACATAGGGAGATTACCCATGGGCTAGTAACCCTAAAGTAACCACATTGTCGGTTTTATCCAGCGTGACGTCCAAGTATCCACTTTGGTTTGATTTCGCATTTAAATTCCAAGTTGTTAATTTTGTGAAATTACATCTCATTGTGTTATGTTGAAAGTTCTATTGTCACTTGATAGCATGAATTAAATGGTATTGAATTGTAACTTGTTACAAAGATAAACCCATGCATTCCCTACGAATAAACTTGTTTACTCACCCCTAAGTTAATGGGTGTTTTACAGGTAAAGAAGCCTTAGTGTGGGATGCACAGCATTCTTAGACTTACTAGAGTTCTTGAAATATTTTGATGACATAGAATATGCATATGTTAGCATATCTTGTCTAACTTTTGTTTACTTTGATAAAACTTATACTTATTGTCTAAGTTATCTAATGTGTACTTAAGTGCACCTTTTGACACTCTTAGAATGTGGTTGTAATGAGGCCAAGGGCCAAAGACACTTATGTGAAATATATGCTAACTTTGAACTTCATTGTTGCCTATGAAAGATATGTGGATTGATGCATTGAAGGGTTCTATTTTGCATATAACATGCCATGAGGCCATGGGCCATTGCAACACATCTATTTTATCACATTACATATGCTTGCATGCTCACTTTGGCAAACAACACCATCCTTGATGAAACAAAAACTCTAAGTAGCATTTTTAGGGAGTTTTACCCTATTCTGTTTTAGGGGCATTTCAGATATTTCAAAATGCATTTTTTTCATTTTTCCTCGCTAGTCACGTAGAAAACTCAATTTTGAGGAGGGTTTCTTCTTTGTGTTTTTCCAGAAAATGCCATCTTGGCCCTCAAAAATCTTTTTTTTTTTTCCGAAAATCCATTGCTGCCAGGTTTTTGCCAACTTTAGTGCAAATGTACTTGGTACTATTCATCAACTTTTTTTTGAAAAGTGTGACGACTGATCCGAAACTTTCGGGGGTCTTGTAGGTGTATTTTAAGATTGCATTTTCAATTTAGGCAATTTAAAAACCTTCCGAAGCCCCAATTCCTTTCTTTGGGCAGTAGCTTGGAACGATTTTTGACCTCTAGACTTGATTTTCTTGAGGGCATTTTAGAAATTTTACAATGCATTTTTTTGGTTTCCGTCCGTTTTTTGGGTAGAAAACTTGATTTTAGGGAGGGTTTCTTCTTTATGTTTTTCCAAAATAGTCCTTTTAGATACCCATTTTTACTCTCAGTTGCAGCAGTAGTGGGTTGACGACACTGTAGCTGTCACGGCCTTCGTCGGGCCGCCGCGACGTCGATTTTGTTTTTGACCTTTCTCCCTCATCTGGACACCAAATCAAGTGAATTTTTTTTTCAAATTGATTAATTTTTCATTGTCTATCCAAAGGTGTGCTCGGTTACACCCATATATTTCTGGATAATTACCATTTTACCCTTTTAGCTTTATTGCTCGTTTTTCTTTGTTTTGTCATTTCTCCTTCGTCCGGAATCCGAATAATGAAATTCTTGAGTCCATCATGATTAGTTTTTCATTGTATTCCCAATGGTGTGTTTGATAGCACTTGAATCCATTTTTTTATAAAATGACCATTTTGCCCCTAGGTTCCTTTTTGTCTATTTTTGAAACGACACTTCCGCATTTGTTTTCCTTTGGGTTCCATGACCTCATTGAGGGTCACATTTGTGTCTTAGAGACGCATTGTATCATTAGAGACCGTTGTTTCACCTTTCGCTTCCGTATTTCGGATCCGTTATCGGGTCATCTTTTGGTCATCACTGACGTACCGGGTTTACAAAACTTGGGCCGTCATAGAGGAGGCAATTTATTTCTTGCATATTATTGAAAGCATGGGAGTATGAGATCAATGTATGTGGAGGTTTGTTGATTGACTTGTTGCGGAGGAGAAGTGTTTGCTACTTGTTAGTTGTTGAGTTGTTGTTTGTTTTGATTATGCAGGCATGGTCGTAGGTCATTGAATCTTACTCATGTCCCACTTAATTTTAATCTTGAATCCATTGTTTGTAATCCTAGGGGAAGGGGTAATTCTAGTGAATCCATTTCATCAATGGAGGAACATAATGAGGACCATGTTGAGGACCTTGGTCACATCGACCAACATGGCATTTTTCACCCTAATGTGCATCAATATCATGATAACATTCAAGTAACATTAGGCATGCCTAGACCCTTCATTCCATAACAACAAGGCCAAGTTCCAATGGGAATGCCTCGGCCATTTTTTGTACCACCACCTCCCGTTGTTTAAGTAAATCATGGTGCTCGTGTAGAGCCACCAATTATGAATCCTCCCCTTGCTTTGAGAGATCATTATGTGCCAAATGAGTATAATGTACCAATATGCATTTAATTACCTCCATTTAGAGCACACCTTATGAGATTAAACCACAAATAATCCAAATGCTTCCCAATTACCATGGGCTACCAAGTGAATAACCTTATAAGCATTTGGATGAGTTTCTTGAAGTGTGTTCCATCGTGAAATACACGGACATGCCAGAAGAGGTTTTAAGGCTTAAACTCTTCCCTTTCACCCTTAAAATATTTGTTTAACAATTTAAGGCATTTTTCAATAACTACTTGGGTAGAGATGCAACAAGAGTTCTTGAAAAAGTACTATCCGGTGTCAAAGACCAATGCAATGAGAACTTTACTTCGTGAATTTTCTCAAGGGGATGGGGAAATGTTTTATGAGGCATGGGAGTGATTGAATGATTTGCTTAGGAAGTGTCCACACCATAACATTACTAAAAGGCAATTGGTTCAATTCTTCTTTAAAAGTTTGTCGGATAATTATAAAGAAATGGTTGATGCTTCTATGGGTGGTTCTCATCTTGATAGGCATGAACATGGCGTGTGGCGCTCATATGAGAGAATGAGTGAGAATTCAATGCATCGATCTTTATCATCTAAAAATGGTAAAAATATAGGTGGAAGGAAGTATGTAGGCTTATATCAAGTTGATAATTCTAATGATATAGCCGCCGAAGTGAAGTCTTTATCCCAAAGGTTTGATCAATTTTTGATCAACCAAAATTCGGTCAACCAAGTGTCTTCTTCCCCTAATCATACCTATCATCCTTCCAATGAATCATGGATGACTTGTTCTAGTATTTTACATTCTATTTCCAATTGTCCTCATACACATGTGCAAAGTGAACACCATGAATAAGTGAATGCTGCTTTTGTTAACCAAAGGAATAATCCCTATGGCACTCACTATAATGCCAAGTGGAGGAACCATCCAAAATTTTCTTGGAAAAGCCAAGGGGAAAGCTCAAACCCTCCCCAAAGTGGCTTCCAAAGTAAGTATGTTCCACCCCCTTTGCAAGGCCATGGTTCCTAAGGTTATCGTTCATCTTACCAAGCATCATCTGCAAACCAATTTTCAAACTCTCATTTTCCAAACCAATCATCATATTCTCAAGGAAATTCAAGAAGTCCCGCATTTGAAGAAAAAGTTCTAACCGTTTTGGGTACTTTTGAGGCAAATACCCAATTGCTTCATTCTTATTCCCAATCGATTACAAAGCTAGAAACCCAAGTCGGGAAAATAACTAGTACATTAAATGCTAGGGAGAAAGGGAAAATGCCTTTGAATCCACCACCCAAGCAACAATTTATTGTGGATACTAATTCCTCTTCGGAAGGTTATACACTTGAACATGTGAATGTGGTGACCACTTTGAGAAGTAGAAGAGTTTTTCACAATCAAGTTGGTGTTCCCAATGAAGAGAGTGAACCGGTGCAACCCAAAGTTAACACCCGTCCCCTCTCACATTCTATTCCTCCTTCATTAATTTTGAAAGAAACTAATGATGAAAATGTTGCAAAGAATGATTTTAAAAAAGCTTTTAAGCCTAAGGCTCCATTTTCGGATGCTTTGAAAGCATCCACTTCTCTTAAAAATCAACAAAATAAGGCAAACGAAATCATTGATGTGTTTAGGCAAGTTTAAATCAATCTTCTTCTCTTGGATGCAATTCGACAAATTCCGACTTATGTCAAATTTTTGAAAGATATTTGCAACCTTAAGAGGAAAAACAAAAGCCAAGCACCAAGAAAAGTTATTTTGACCGAACAAGTAAGCTCAATCTTGCAACATAACACCCTCCAAAAATTTAAAGACCCCGGTTCACCAACTACTTCATGCATTATTGGTGATCATGTTATTAATCGGGCTCTTCTTAATTTAAGAGCTAGTGTGAATCTTTTCCCTTACTCAGTTTATGTTCAATTGGGCTTAGGTGATTTGAAACCGACGTCGGTAGTTTTGCAACTAGCCGACTGATCAATTAAGACGCCCCGGGGTATCATTGAAGATGTTTTGATTAAAATTGACAAGTTCTTCTTCCCGGTTGATTTTGTTGTCATTGACATGGAACCAATCCCAAATCTTAAGAGCCAAATTCCCGTTATCATTAGCTATCATTTCTTGGCTACCGCTAATGCCAACATTAATTGTAGGATGGGGATAATGAAGATTTCATTTGGTCACATGAAAGTGAAGTTGAACATTTTTAATCCAACCCCCAATTCTATGGATAAACATAAAAAAAATATGTGTTGTTGAAAAATGTTTTGAAAATGAATTTGACAAAAATGAGTCTTTGCTTGGTGTTGAAACTTTAAATGGTTTGCTTTCAAATGAGATTTCAAAAAATGTTATTTTAAAGTTTAGTGTTGAAAGGGCATGGAAGCCCAAAAATTTTGTTAATCTAAGGCCATCAATTTCACTTGAACCAAATCTAACAAGTTCCTTAGGGACTAGTTTGTCGGGTGGGGTTCAATATTCTATTCACCCCGCCGAGAAGGGGATGCATACTAAGATCTTTGATCCGGACTAAAGGAGCCCAACATCTTGCTAGAGACGTTAAACACTAGTGCTTCATAGGGTTTACAAACCCTATTCCTCCCTCATTTCTTGTTTCGATATTTCCTGTGTCATCTAGATATGAGTTGAATTGAAAAATCCAGTTTCCGAGCAGTTTCTTGCATTTTGTGCACTTCCAGTGAAGTTTCGATCGATCGAAGTTCTGTTCGATTGATTGAAATTCCACTTCAATCGATTGATCAGAGCTCATCTCAATCGATCAAAATCCATTTATATCGATCGAAGTAAGTGTTCAATCGATCAAAAATCCTTCGATCGATCGAAATTACGTCTTTTGAAATTCCGAAAATGCTTTGGCTGTTCATCTTCCACTCTAACCCTAATTTTTATTTTCTTTTTCTTTTTCTTTTTCTTTTCTCTCTGCTCCCCAATTTTTCTTTTTCTTTTCTTTCTTTCTCTCTCTTCCTCCGTCTCTCTCTTCGTTTTCTCCTCTCTCGGCAAACCCTCTCCCTCTCTCCCAATTTCTCAATCTCTCCCCCTTCCTTTCAATCTCTCTCACTCTTTATCTCCCAATCGTGACCAACCTCGCCATCTTCTTCTCGCCGGCGGTCCAAAGGGAAGCCCCCATCCACACCACCACTCTCCTCCATTTTTTTTTCCTGGCGAGATTTTTAGCCTAAAAGTGGCCAAAACTAGCATCTCTCTCTCTTTTCTCTCTCGCATTACCTTTTATCCATCATCTCCGGCCGATTTAGGCCAAGGAGTGCTCGGTTGTCATCTCCGGCGACCTTTGAAATTTCTGGCAAGACTCCAGCGAGTCTCCGATCATCTTCTCAGGCTACGGTAAGGCCGAAAGTTCCCCGTTTCGCTCCAAAAGCTTTGTTTCACTCTTCTTTACTCTCTTTTGGATCAAGTATATTCCAATTCATTTTTCTTTTATTTTTTTTTATTTTTGTTTATGTATTTTATGCTTTGTTTTATTTCCATTTTATTTTATTTATTTCATTTCTATTATTTTAGATCATTTGTATATATGTTTGTGAATATAAAAATGAATAGAAACCAAATAAAAATTGAAAAATTCAAAATAAATATAAAATGAAAAAATGAATGAATGAAAAATTGTAAAAAAAATAATAAATAAATAAATAAATAAATAATAAATGGACCACTTACCTTTGAATTGCATACCTTTGATTTTATTTGAATGGTGATGGGAACACATTGAACAATGGAGAATGGATTGTTGTTGATGTAGTTAGAAGGAGAATGGGCAATTGTTAAATTATGGATTGATATTGTGGGCGGTGTCTCTTGTTAAATTGATTGAATGAAGTTAATTTGCATTCCATATGTTCATTGATTGTTGATTGAATGATGAAATACATATGTGTTTGTTGTGTTTGGAAATTTTGGAAACGACCATTTTTAAGGGGAAACCATGCCAGATTTTCAAACAAATTAGATTTGAGCTTTGATGTTTCATTCCAAAGGCATGTGGTTTGTTTTTAAAACTTGAAATGGTTTTTGGAAAAGAGTTTTGAAATTAAGGATTTGGTTTTGGATTGAAAAGAAATAAATTTTTAAATTATTTTAAAAATCCAAGTTGCTTTGACATGTGTTCTTTTTTACTTTGGAAATATCATGATTGTGCAAATTTTGTTTGTTGATTTAGAATGCACATTTGAATGTCAAAATGAACTTGTTGTCTTAAGATTTGAAATGAAAGGAAAAATTTCTTTGAACTTGAAATATTTTTGAAAATCTTCTTGAAATAGCATTGCAAAATTTGAAATCATGTGAGCATAATCCTGACTTGTTTCATTTTTTTGTCTTGAGTATGAAATGCATGGATATGTTTCAAGTTGTCTTAATTGCATGCAAGCATGACTTGACTTTTGTATCTTTGAACTTGAAAATGCAAAGTCTTGTCTTAAATGCTTAAAAGTGTTTCAAATGAACCTCTTTGAAAAGTTTTGATTTCCAATTGACTTAAACTCATGATTCAAGTGCATTGTTTTGGTTAAATGATCTTTAAATGTTAAAATGCTTTGTGATCACACTTATTGGGTTTTAAATGATTAAAAAGGAAATTTTTTAACTTTCATTCATTGCATAATTCTTGTTATAAAGCTTTTATACAATGCAATTGATTGTTTTGACTCCAAAGTTTTCAAAAATTTCAAATTTGCCCCAAAAGTGTCGAGTAATTCCAAAGTTGACCAAAATGCCCTTGTTTGAGGTGAAACTTGTTCCATTCGATTCTTTTCCATCCAATTGCATGTACTAAGTGCTTTTGAACTTGTTTGTGATACAAATCTTGATTCTTGCCATGCTAGGGCATAAGTGTGATGCCTTTTGACCTTTCTTATCATGATTTTGATCTTCCCTTGCAAAATGAGATGAATTGCAATTCCAACCTAACTTGTTGAAGTCAAATGATTCCATTGTTGTTTATTAACCTTGAAACTTGTCAAATGTGTTGCTCTTTCAATAATTGTGTGCCCTTTGGAATAATTACAACTTGTTGCTTGTATATACACATTTTACACACTTATTTCATATTGATAGTTTTTTAGAGTTTTTATGCATATTTTGAGCCTATCTTCTTGGACTTGATTTTTGACTAAGTTTGGGGGTTTGTTATGGATGTTTGGAGATTTCAAATGCATGATTGGGATGTGGTTTCTGTTACTTGGCCTCAGAATCACTTTTTGAGCTGAACTTGAATTTTGAAATGCAATTTGACATAAGTCTGCGGATTATTTGCTTTGTCTTGAAAGTTATTTGTTTAAATGCCATTTGAATGATATCATATACTTATAATCCATTCCTGAGAGACAAGTAAAGGCTTATGACTAAAGTTCTTTCCGGTCCAGATTTTGATTCCACAATGGTAAGCTTCTTGTAT